TATATTATTCCCCTCTCCAGTCACCTTGGCAACTCTAAGCAGCACAGATCTTCTGGTATTTGCTCTTTTATTAAGAAAGGGCTCAACATCTCTTGACTTTTATTCTGTGTGATGGGGACATTGAAGTTCCTTCTTCCATTCATGCATCTTCCTGCCTCTATTCACCATTTAGTTTACCAGCTGCGCTATTGTTTTTTTTAATAGATATATAGTATTAAGAGTTATGCATTCTGTTCTGTCACTCCAGGTAAACCTTTTCAACTATGTGTAAGTTAGATGGGAGAGTTTAAAATTGGAAAATGAGACTTAGATGGCTATGTTATCATAAATACTGTTTTTGGAAAGCCCAGATATTTACATTTCCCTTGCAGATAATCAAACACAAGCCTGTTTGTGTCTCTAAATTAAAACACTGCACTTTTTACACCTTCACTATGTGATTAGAGTGTTTTTTTTTTTAAGTTTTCAAGGTCTTAATCTGGCAGAACTCTATATTTTCTTTCTCCAAGAGACTTTATTTCCAGTCATCCAGGCTGAATGGGACCAGGTACTCCTGAGATCAGCAACATCCCTGAATATCTTACATCCAGAGATAGAGCTACAGCTCAGTAATGAACTTGTGCTACAGTACAAATGCAGAGCTTGTCAGCATACAAACGATAACGAAAGCAAGCATCTGTTATGGAATATTAATTTAAAATGTGTTATGTTTGTTTATGCTGTGCAATATTTGTTTAATGATGCAAAGATGTGTTGTATTCTTTTATGTTGCATTTGTTTAAATCTGTAAAGCTGTGTTACTTTGTCTAAAACACCTGATTGGTCTAATAGAGAGCTGAATGGCCAATAGCTAGGCAGGAGAGAGAAATAGGGGCTGGCAGGCAGAGAGAATAAGGGAAGAAGAAGAGAGAAGAGGGAGGATGGAGAAAAGGAGGACAGGGGGATGCCAGGGGCCAGCCACCCAGCCACCCAACCAGCCACTGAGTAAGAAGGGAAAAATATATAGAATAGAGAAAGATAAAAGCCCAGAGCAAAACCTAGACATGATAATTTAAGTTGGCTAGAAATAAGCCAAGCTAAGGCTCGGCATTTATAAGTAAGAATAGGATGCCATGTGTTTACTTGGGAGCTGAGCGGAGGGCGGGGGGCAAAGAGTTAAAAAAAAAAAGAAAAATCAACTTCAAGCCTTCAATGAAAGAGAAGATCAGGAGTGAGTGAAAAAGAAGACGGAGAGCCTTGATATTTAAGTGCTAGCTGAAGAAGAGAAGTAACACTCAGCTTTTCAGATTTTAGCATCAGACACGTTTGAGGAGAGCAAGAGGTGACGCTGAATGTTGCCACGAGGACAGGGGTTTCTTCCTTCAGCATTCCTGGCCAGATGTTACCCTGTTTGCACTTTAGTACCTCCAGTGCTAGATGGTTCCAAATGCCAAGCTCACATCTGGATGTGACTTCATTTGTGATGTCCCAGCCTATCCTCCTCTTTCTCAAATAGTGAAAGTCTAGCCTGACTCTTGTTTCTATCAGCATACGTGTTCTCCTGAGAGTCTCAAGCTGCAGAGTGTGCAGTGCACTGAATGCAATGTATCATGAATGTTGGTTGGCATAGTTTTTATTGTTAAGACTTTTACTCCATGCTTGAGGGAGACAACTTGGTTTCTAGTCCAGATTAGTCTGGACTCTGCTTTCTCCCCCACATCATCTCAATATCAAGTTCCTTCATCCTTGTGTGATTGCTCTTTTAACTCTGTACAACTCTAATAGTATCTCTCAGAGATGTTAGGAGACACTTAAGAAGGTATGTGAAGTGGTTAGTGTAGCAACCAGCAAACAGTAGATGCTTAGTGAATGTTTGCTAAGTAGTAATAAAACGAGGGCAACACTAACAATGAGCCCGGCTTGTCATCCATATTTCCATTATGAGTCTTCACACTGTATTTTGGGATTCTCTGCCCAATCTTGTCTCTTCTAGTTGGCTATGAGTAATTTGAGAAGAGAGATCCTATCTTCTTAGAGTCACATTACCTAAGGCTGCACACATGTCTAAGAAAAGGATGAGGCTGGGAGATTGCTCATGAAGTAAGAGGGCTCGTTTCTCTAGTGTGAGGGCCTGAGTTCAGAACCTAGCATGGATATAAATAGCAGAGCATGGCTATTCATGGGCTTGCAGCCCCAGTGTCATTGTGGGGTGGAGATAAGAGGTTTTCTGAGGTTTGCTGGCCACCAATGAAGGTCTAGGCTCAGTAAAAGAACCTGTCTCAATGGAATAGGGTGAAGAATGTTAAACAGGACATGCCACATTCTCCGCTATCTCTGCACACATAGATAACACACACACACACACACACACACACACACACACACACACACACACACACAGAGGACATTATAGAAAATGGATATTTACCGATCTCTGGCTTACTAGGTTGCCCTACTTTAAACGTTAGATTGCAGCTCAAGTAATCCACTAACTCTTCTATTACAATGTTTTATTAGTACTAGTAGGAGGTCTCAAAGCATCCACATTATGAACAATCCAAATATGTCTGTTATACTCATGTGTACATCTCTGCTCTGACCCTTTCCAGTGCCAGGAACACTGCTTGAAAATCAATACCTGCTGCCATGCCCTACTGATGAGGTTGCTGGTGTCTGGGCTAAGGATGTGAAGAGCATGATTCATCCCTACATGCTAAAGACAGTGCTGGAGCCAAGTGTGAGGCTGGTTTCATTACCTGGCCTTGGACAGTCCTGGCCACTGCCTAAAGCCCTGTTTGAGCTTTACTTCCTTTCTTTGTACAGATTATACCATCCCAGACATCCTCTGGGGTCAAAAGCCATTTCCTGCGTGCCCACTTTTCTTTTTCTTCCCTCCTCAGGACCTCATTTCCTTCTTGTAGGACAAAAACCCTGCAAGGTTTTGAATGGGACTAACTGCTCTGTGGGAAGAAGCCCATGCTTGTCATCCAAAGCTGCACTCGTGCCATTAAATATATTACTAAAAGTTTATCCCAAATATGCTTGTTCATGTTACAGCTCAGTGGAGTGGCTGATTTGTACACAAATTTGATTTTGGATTTGTAGAAGCTAATATAATTGCATATTAAAAACAATAAGTTTACTGGATATAAATGAAAAAAATTAACCTTAAGTTTGGTTAGGGTTTTGTTCACTGGGTCATGCTCCTGATGCCTGTCTCCATGCTTTGACTGTTAGCCCCAGACTAAATAGTCATTTATTTGATTTTTGTTGGTAATAAAACAGGAATCAGTTAACTGCCCCTTCAAACATAAATATTTAATCCAAACAATATTGGGACAACTGGAGGACAAAGAACACAACAGAAGGGCCAGGGCGTCCTTATCTTGCCTGTAGTAACTGCTCGGCTACCCTTTATTGCCCCAGTTCTCTCTATTTCAGGCAGCTGGCTTCTCCGCCCTCCAACGCCGCTGGATTAACACAAGTGTTGGCAATAGCACTTATTATGAACGGGGTGTCTTGGCTTGGTGAGGACTCGTGCTTACTTTCTCAAGTCTGCTCGCTTCTTTTGGGATAGACTGGTCCTGGGAAGCTGCTTCCCGGCTGGAGACAGCCCACAGCCTTTGCCTGTCTCTGTCTTCTCATCTGTCCCCACTTGCAGACCCACAGCATCGTGACATGGGAACCACTTGTCATACTTGTAACGCCTCTGCACCTGAGTCCATTCTTGCCAAGCTTCATCCTTTATAGACGTTCTAGAGGAAAGGGGGAAAGGGCATGAGACATTGGCGTGGAGAAGATAGCTTGAAGCACAACAGGTCTGGGGTGTAGCAAAGCAGCTGGGTATCTGGGCTACATGGATGACTGTTGATCACAAGGTAAGACGTTGGTGTCACCGAGCAAGAGACAAGCGTTGTATAAATTATCTATCACAGCAACAAATCGCTTGATGGCTTAGGACCTGGGTCACCTCAAAATTCTTTGGATTACTAATATGACACAGCTCTCACTGTGTTAATGTCGAGGTTTCTGCAGAGCTGCCATCCTTTTTCTGTATTTGGGGTGAGAATCAGTTCTGTCTTCAACTTCCAGAATCTGTTTTTGTTTTTTTGTTTGTTTGTTTGTTTGTTTTTTGACTCATTGCATTTTCAAAGCCATGTGGTCTTACTCTCCTGAGGGGAAGGGATATAGGCCAGGAGAAAGACCAACAGAACTCAGAGGCCTTTTCGTGAAAAGGGGGTGGTCAATTTAAACTTTTCAGCCAAGCACAGTGGGGTGGTGGTGCCTGTAATCCCAGCACTATGGAGGCTAAAACAGGATGACCTCCAGTTCCAGCCTGGATCCTGTCTCAAAACTAAGCAGACAAACAAATGATCGGACAAAAGAGCAGGGGACTAGCCTGGGATTCCTCAGCACCGAACACAAACCATCCAGTGCAAACTCCTGGTTCACCCGCGTTGGTTCCAGTACAGTTGTAGGTTAGTGATTTTGAAGACTGTCTTGGAAGATTTCTTTGCTCACAGAAGTTAATCACTGCCCACAGCATCTCTGTTTGGCAGGCTTCCAGGCAGCCTCAGTGGTACTTGAGGGTGAATTCTTCACCCCAAAGTCTGTGGTTCTTTCCTCATCTGGGTGACAAAGGCCCCGCCTTCTCCTAACTCTCCTAGCAACGTGGTCTCATTTAACCTTCGCATCTTTTCTTCCCTGTAATTGGGGGGCTTTGATCAGATGTGTTGAAGGAAGATGGATTTTGATCTGTCATAGTCCCTCACAGATACTCACATCCTTGAACCCAGGCCTGGCCTTTTGGAGACCCTTAACACAACTGTCAGTTTGCACCCTGCTTTCCACGTGAGAGCGCTGAGGCTGGCTCCAGGCTCGTCACATGGCCAAGGTGACAGGTGGTCAGAGCTGGGAGAACCCACTAACTTCAGGCAGGGAGGCAAAGAGTGGACTAACAAGGCAAGGCGGATCCCTTGGGGAGCCCGCAGACAAATGAACGCATTAGCTCTGGAGAACTTGCCATCCTGTTTCCAAAGTGCCCAGAATTCTCTTGAATGCCGCTCCCAGACAAACCTTGCTCTGGGCCAGGCTGAGTCAGGCGTGAGAAGGAAGTAGGCTGCACCGAGGAGGGATTGCCCCTGGCACAGGCACCACAGAGACATTCTCGAGTTTATTGTCTCTGAATAGAGGAAGTGGGCACCCAAAAAGGTGAACGGATTGGCCCAAGGTCACCCAGGAGTCTACAGTGCAGGGAGGGCTCCCTGTCCCCAGCGAATGGGTACGATTCTGGTCAGGGACGCACATGCTGGTCCCCTTAAAGGCGTGGGATCTGTGCAGCGTCTGCGCCCACTCCCCTGTGCGCCCCTCTGCACAGGTGGCGCCCCGTGCCCTGTGGGGGCGGCAGCGAGCAGGACCGCAGGGACGCTCAGGCTGGGGACTGTGGAGCCCACGAAGCCGGCTCTGCTAGGGGGAGAAGGATGCTCTGCATGCCCAGGTGAGTCCAGACTGGGGTCTCCAGCCTGCTGCCGGTGCCAGACGCCTGCCCGCTCCCCAGCGCGGGGGCTGAAGCCCGCATCCAGGCGGGGGGGGGGGGGGGCGGCGGCGAGGGCGCAGGCAGTAGCGGGGAGCGCAGCACAGCGCAGCGCAGCAGCGGCAGAAGCTGGGCTCTGCGCTAAAGGTAGCCGCAACGGATCTGCCAGGGCGCCTCTTTCCCTAGCCTTCCGCAGCGGCAGCGGCGTGGTGCTGGGAGTGCGCCAGGAGATCAGAACCCCAGGAGTCCACGTGTGCAGGTGGGGATGCCGAGAGGGGGCGGGGCGGGATGTCCGGGTGGGGTGGGGGCTTCAGGGTTCTGTACTTCCGACACCCACCAGTCTTTGTCGCAGGGATGGGCTATGTGTTGGTGTGGGTGGGTGGACTGTCTGTCTGGGTAGGACCTGTCTGCAGCGTGGGACCACTGAAGGTTGAGCAGCTGCCCTCCCGCACTTGTGTAGGTAAGTACTTGTGAAACTGCATGTGTGATCACTGACTGTACGAGGTTGTATGTGAAGAGAAGGAAAGGGAGGAAGAGAGAGAGGGAGAGAGATAAGGAGGAAGGAAGGGGAGATAGATAGATAGATAGATAGATAGATAGATAGATAGATAGATAGGGATAGAGAAGCTTATGTTGTGTATCTTATCTTTATTGGTGTGTAATTTAATGTATCTCGGTAAACTGTAGATGATTGTGAGTGTGTGACTGAGTATGCCTTCTATGTGTAATGAGATACCTGCTTCTTGTGTGTAAAAGCAGCAGGAGTGTGTAGTAGCACGAGTGTGTGGATATTCTGTGCTGCATGACGATATCTCAGTCACTGGCAGTACTAGGGGCCACCCTGCCTTTGCCTTTCGGAGAATCCGATCTCAATGGAACATGCGTCTTGTCCAGGCTTGCACCTTGCCCCCCGGCACACTGCTGGCTGCGTTTGAAAGAAGCGGCTGTTGATTCAGGGCAATGCTAATTGGCAAAGGTGAGGAAGTCATGGCAAGCGCTTGGCTTCTTAGTGTTCGATATTAAGAGAAAATCTTGGCGACTTTCCATCTGACCCATGAAAACAACACAAAATGTTTCCTAAGGAACCGATTTGACATGAATTGAAAGTGCGTTCCAACGAGGGGACACAGATGCAAGTTTGCCCTCTTGGTGTTCATATTGTCGGGATGGATTCTTTGGGTAAATAAGGCTGTAGGTGACCCTGGCTTGTAGTTGCTGATAGAGGTTTGTCTGGTCCTCGGAGATTTCAGCATCAGTGACCAAAGGGGGAGAGGTTGCTCACCGTTCCTTGTGAGCACAGCTAGTGAAGGAAAACACCATCGGTGATGGATGTGACTGGTGTCCCAGAAACAAGGAAGTCAGAGAAAGGACAAGACCCACAGAGTTCCGAGAAGCAATTCCCATCTAGGAAATACCTTTGTGTAGAAAAAAAATTTACATAAAATAACCAGATGTTCCAACATTCCCAAATAATTTTTAAATGTTTCACTCATGCCCCCATTCTAATCTCTGTTGTGTTTGCATCATTTTCTCTTCTGGGGAATATCTTCGTTTTAATTATTTTTATGTGATAGAGTCACAGTTGGTTTTTAAACTCTAGGAGAACTAGAGCACAGTCAAGTTGTCCAGAATGTCAAGGAGCCTTTAGTCCCCCTGTTCTGAGCAGGTAGGGGTCTCAGAACAATAACATGCCTGGTTTCCCCGAAGTTTTCCGGGTTTTACTTCTAACGGGATTCCTTGGGCCAACAAACTCACAACCATTACCAGATTCCGCTCCTCCTCTCACTCCCTTTCCCATTGTCGCAGATCGAAGACAGCACCTGGAGTTGTCATAGACAACATCCCATCCTGGCATGTATCCTTGATTTGTTCCCCAAGTCATCTAAACAGGGTGCTGATGTCACCTTTCATTTCTCCTCTCCCTTCACCAGGAGCTGCCAAAGTTTAATCCATTGGCAGTTTGTCTGTTTTCACAGACACAATTCCCCCCTTTTTATTCTCACCATGGCCAACTTTATCAGGTGAAACCAATATTTAGGGGATTTCCAAAGATGGGAAGTGATACAGACTCTGATCATGGGGAAAATGCAAAGCAAAAGAATAAATGCCGGGAAGATGTGATCCTTGGGATAATGTGTGTCCAACTAAAAAATTGTCAGTTCTTTATGAGTGTCACATTATGTGACTTAGCTCAGATTTCTGCCTCTCTCTGTTTTCGTTTCTTTACTTGTAAAAGTGGAAACAAAAAATTTCAACTAGAGTCTTGTCACTAGATCCTTTTGAAGGATTCTCTCAGCATTGAAACACTCTGATTGATGTTATTCTAGCAAGAATACGTTTACCTAATGTCTCATGTGAACCTATAAAAATTTGTAAACTTTGTTTGAAAAATAGTATTTGATTTTTGGGGGGGGACGTGGATAGAGAAGAAAAGTGAGATGTACTGTTGACTTAAGTTTGAGATTGAGGATTAAATGCAAACACCATTAGAATCAGAGGAGTTTTAAAGGTCACTCAGTTTTCATCTTTATGAAGTGCCAGAGCCTACCTTATTAATATAATGCCACGTTACATTATAATTTTCTCCAGCCTCCACAGCACTGGCATTTGGGATAGATGATTCTTGTCCTGTGCATTGTAGGATATTCAACAACATTCCTAGTATCCTGTAATAGCACCACAAAGTTACAACAACCAAAAGCAAACCCAGGCATTGCTAACTATGCTCATGGAGGGACCCAGTCTTCCCATACGCTAGTTGAGACTCACCGCTGCAGTTCACCCACAAGCCGGGTAGCCTTCTACAACAACACCTTTCAACCAGACACTTGTTATGCTGCTGACTGCCTTCCTGCCCTGTCTCAAGTCTACTACCCCCATACGCTCTCCTTCATTCCTTCTGGATTTTCACTGCCTTGTTTCTCTGCCTGCAAGTACTCAAGATGTGCTGAAGGCCGAGAAGCATTTCAGAGGCATTAATAGTCTTAATAACTCACATTAACCCAACCCTTGATATGTGCCAGGCACAGTTCTAAATGCTTTATGTGGATGGTTGCATTTAATCTTCATTAAGAATCCTTGGAGAGAGAGAGAGAGAGAGAGAGAGAGAGAGAGAGAGAGAGAGAGAGAGAGAGAGAGAGTTCTACTGCCCTCATTTTAGAAACACAATGGCTCAAGCTCACAAAGGTAAAATAACATGTCCAGTTCTGGCAGCTGTTGGGTGTTGGAGCTGGTGTTGGCTGGTGTGCTGTCTTGCTGCAGTCCATTGCTTGTCCCTTCACACTTGCACTGCCTTGCATGAATGACACATTTGGTGTTACAGGCTAGATAGGAGGAGCTTAAAGGTCACTTAGCCGAGTTGTAGGATCAAGTCTGCCTCTAGGAAGGAGGCTAAAGACTCTAGGTTGTAAATTGTGTTCAGTTGCCCTATGTGATTCTTCATTAAAACAATAGCCAACCCCCAAACAACCTTCTGTTATCCTGAATTAGCTCAAAGGTATGTGTATGGTGAGAGAGCAGTAGCTGGGCAGGGTCGTGGAAGAGAGAGTGTGAAGGGAAATGGATGGGGGTGGAAGGGACCAAAAAGTGAAGAGGGCATTTCTGTTCCTATGAACTCTACCTCACTGTCAGTCTCTGTCATCAAAGTTAAAGTTCCTGTGTTTTAATCAACTCTCTGCTTAGTCTTCTTGGTCTGCTCTTTGAGCATTCCATTCTGCATGCTGTTCACTTTTTACTATTGAGGCAGAGGTAAAAATAAAGTGTGAACGGCTCTTCAACAGGGTAATTGATAGGACCAGCTACAATAGTGTTGGAGTGAGGATGATTCCTGTAGCAATTATTGATAAGCTTGAGAATCCAAGGTTGACTAGGAAGGCTGACTTCCTTCTAAGGTTGCCTGTTGAACCCATAGATTCATCAGCTCTGACCCTGCACATCTGTGGTTTGGTTGAAAGTGTGGCCTTTAGTCTTTGACGAGCAACAGACTAATCCACCAGGCTCATTAGAGCCTACATCAATGGGCAGCCTCCCCAGTTTCTGATGTTTCTGGGTCAGGGTCCAAGGATTTTCACTTCTAATGGGTGTCTACATGCTATTGCTACTTCTCTGGAAACAACAGTTGGGGTTAAGACTTAGATAATTAAAACAAAGCCCAAATACAGCTTTTGATTGGGAAGATGACATTTTAAAAATAACTAAGCATTGTATTAATGAGAAGGAATTGATGGAGCAAAATCCATAAACAATAAGAGAGATGAACTCACATCTCTCATTAAGCATCTGCCTCAGATCTTTTCCTGTTCCTGTCTCCACCCACCTCTGCCTGAATTTGGATGATAAAATACCTATTTACAGAATAATCCAGACCCAAAGTCCTTTAGTACGTTGTTTGACCCAAGTACATTGTGGGAAGCCTCTGTAAGACTAAGAAGATACACTATTCATCTATCTAGCTTTAGCTGTAAGTTGCATTGCATATCTTTCCCTTTCAAAGCTACATTAGAATGATGGAGAAACTCCATGGAAAGCAACATGTTCATGTGTAACTGATGAAAAATTTAAATATCAATCAGAAAGTTTCCTTAAAAATTGAAGTTTAAACTCAGTCATCTCCTCCATTCTTCCTAAGTGCCAACATGTGTTTTTGTTTTGGCATGCTCGAATCCAAACGATGGACCTTTAAGAACTCCCACAGAAAGATCTTTTTAAAAAATGATTTATTTGCTGGGTGTAGTGGCATACACCTTTATTCAAGAGGCAGAGGCAGATGGGTTTTTTGGTGAGTTTGAGGCCAGCCTGGCCTACATAATGAGTTCTAGGACAGCCAGAGCTACGTAGTGAAACTCTGTCTCAACAACAACAACAAAACGAAAATAATTTACTTATTTTTATTTTACTTGTGTGAGTGTTTGCCTGCATGTGCAAGACAGGTGTATACCATGTGCATGCCTGATGCCTGACAAGAC